GACAGTCTAGATCAAATGTGCTCATTGAAAAGTACATTTTAAAAATAACTACCACATTTTGAAAGCCATTTGCTGGGCATTCTAAGCACATTTTCCACATTACTATTTCATTCTATCCCCAAACTCTATGAAGTAGGGCTATTATTTCCCTAGTTTTCGATGAGAGGATTAGAAAGCTTGCTTCAAGTCAAATACTCCAGCACTAGGAGGTGCTGCTGGTCTTACCTGATAGTTGGTATGCTACATGTCAACCCAAATGCAGTGGGGGAAAAGGTGTGTTAGATACTTTGAGGGATGGTAACAATGCTCAAGTAGGTCGAAGCTCTGTTAGAAGGAAAGTGAATTGGTTTATTTGTAAAACCAAATCGGTTCCCTTGAGTCTAACTATTAAATAGCTTCAATTTAAAAGGGCCCTTTTCATAACTCCAAATGTTTTAGGGCCATGACTGTGTAAAGAATAGCTTGACTCTTTACTGAGCAGGAGAATAATTAGCCCATAATGAAAAATAATCCCCTAAGATCTTTCCTGGTCTTCAAGAACCCGCATGTAAAACACAGGAGATGGAGGCTCAGTGAGGACGTTAATCCCCTAGTGAGTAAAAAAACCTGTCGCTGTAGGAAAGATACTACTGCAGTTCTGTTTTCCTGTGGAGAAAGGAAGACTGTCTCAGTACTAGTGGGCGCCGTGTGTGGGAGCACACCCACCTTCCGGACTGGCTATGTAATCCCTCATTCAATCTGGACCCGCCACAAAGACAGACAGAAAGCGCAGGGACTTTTTATTCTTTCGCATCCTAGTGCAAACCAGAACAACAACGGTCGATTGTCCCAGGTCTATCAGAGGATGCTCATTACTGCAATTTCTAATGTTAACTTGTGACATTGAAAAATGGTACCGAAATCAGTTTTAAAAAAAAAATTCAATAGAATGTAACAAAAACCGTGGAAGCCATAAACTCTTGAATTAGGAGTTTTTCTTTATAAAGAGAAAATATGAAAACAGCTTTGTGTGTGCATGGACTTGGTTGTAGAAACACTGTTTCAGCTTTCTCACAATCTGGCTCAAACCCCAGCCCTTACTTTTCGTCTCTCAGGTCCCCCGAATGCGATGTGCCGGGCCTCTTCCACTGTTTCACAGACGAGGCCGTTGCCACACACAAACTGAATCACTTTCTTCAGCTGAGGGAGCTGGGTCTTTATAACATCCATCACCATTTTACAGCCTTTAATCTCTCTTAGTCGTTCATTGATGGGCTTGATCTGAACGGTGTGAAAAAGACTTGATGTAGTAGATCCAGCAAATGAATGAATCCACTCACTATATTCTATCCTCCAAAACATGAGCAAGCCTGACCATTTGTTCGTTCAACAAAGGTTAATCATGGGTCATCAGACACTGGCTAGCCTAAGATCTCCCAACACATACTACTCAAGGCTCGAATCTAGTTTGCTTCACCTAGAGCTGACACGCTGGGCTGCTTTGGAGCGGGCAGGCATCAGGGGCAAGTGTTTCATCAGCAGATGAAGCAGCTGACCCTGCTTCTGCTCTTTACTGGGGAAGGAAGTGAATCATATGCTGGCTGGTAGGCACGGGGGTGCACTGCTTACAGCAGTCTCACCACCCCGATGGCAGAATAGAACAAAGCTAGAAAATGACTAAGTGGCAGGACACCGAGAAAATGTGGCACCCCCGATGTTCTTTGCCCACCAAGCCACGGAGACAGAGAAATACATTCACATCAGCATTTGGGTGGTTGCAGCAGCTAACCTGGCTTCCCTGAAGATTACAGTCTGGAAAACCTACCTGTCCTACAGGTTGGCTAGCAGTCAGCATTGCCTGGACACCAATCAGTTCATTTTGGGTTTGGGTTACCACAGTTTCAGACAATCAAGACATACTTTAACAGACAAGATCTTCTCACCACAAAATAGTGCTATTTGATAATTTTCTTACATCAAGGTAATCAAGAGCGAGGAATGTCTCAGGTTCAGATCTTTGCTCTTTCAGAAATCGAATGCAATCTCTGGCCACCTTTTCTGAGGCTACAACGATGGCAACCATGTACCGGCCAAAGAGCTTAGTAACAGCCAGCTGGTATTTCTTATGAATAGGATGGCACAGGTCCAGCAGTCTCCCAAACTTAGCAGGTTTCCAAAAGGAGAGAAGAGAGAATACATTCATGAGGAATAGTACATTTCACTGTACCTTTGTCTGCTAATACAAACAGAAGCAAGCCCAAAATAGTTTTATCAAATTTAAGCACCAAACTTAAGAGATTCTGTATTCATGTAAAGTTTCATTATCAGTAACTATTTAGGTTGTCACAGTAATGTGACTCCTTACTTTAAAAAAAGAGAGGGACTAGTCTTACCAAAGTATTAACATATTTTACACATCTACAGCAATTCAATAATGCTCATTCATCTGAGGCAGGCACTGTGAAGAGAGTAAACTGGGTACTGAGTAAGATTACTCAACAAAACAGATACCCGCCAATCCCACAGAGCTTTCTGTTAGGCACACAGTCATCAATTATCTCTGGCATGTTCAGTGTGGAGGGACAACAATCACAGGGACAGAAAACATAGTGCACTCTGGGAATGTATAATAAGGAAAAGTCAGGGAAAACTTCCCATGAAGAAATGTTATTTCAGAAGGGATCAAGAATTAAGAGTTCAAAAACTTTACTAGAACATGCCTGAATGCTAATCATCCTGTATTATTCCCAGAATACCTGAAGATTCGATTTTATATCTTTGGATCCCTCTTTCTGCTTATTAGCTGTTTACCTGTTTTATTGACCATGTGAGGCAATCAACTGTGTAGATCATAATAAACTATGGGTAACATGGGAAGAATGGGAATTCCAGAATACTTCCCTATATTCATATGGAACCTGTAACTAACCATTAAGCAGTCGATCGAATGAGGAAATACTGCCAGATTTAAGATGGGGAAGGATGTGCATTGGGAATGTATCCTTTCACTGTACTTCTCCAATCTGTACACTGAGCAAAATCTGAGCAGCGGGACTATGTGAAAACCTGAGCATCAGGACGGCGGCAGGCTCATTAAAAACCCATGTTAGGCACATGACACAGCTATGGACAGTGAAGCGGCCTGGAAGCACTTACTGGTGAAGATCAAAGACTCACCGTCAGCATACATCACAACTCAGTGTACAGAAAACACAATCCTCCCAACTGGACCCAAGAATCATGATATAAAGATCGAAGTGGTCAAGGATTTAACTGATACACCACCCATGCACATGGGACAGCAGTTAGGAATTCTAGTTATGTAATGCACTAGGCAAACACCTTTAAAGTGAAGAGCACTGACTGTGGTAGCAATGGTACAACACTGCTTGATGTGTTTGAACTATGGAATGTCATCATATCTGTAAGAGCGCCCAATAAAATTTTAAAAAAAATAAAGAGCAGAGATGTCCCTTTGAGGACTAAGGTGTGCCTGACCCAAGCTATATTTCTGATCATGTCTTATGTATGTGAGAGCTGGACAATGAGACTGAAGAAATTAATTTGAATTATGGTGTTGGTGGAGAATACTGATTACACTATGGGCCACCAAAATGAATCTACAAAATGAATCTATTTCATCAATGGGTTCAAACATAACAACTGTGAAGATGATGGGCCCAGCAGTTTTGTAGTCGCTCTGAGTTGAACTACTTCTGTTAAGTACATATTAGCTGTACATCATCTTACTCATTATTATCTACCACCTTTGTTCTAATTGCATTAATTTCCTTGCTGTCTTCTCCATCTTGATTAGCTCCTCTTTCCTCTGGGTTGGAAATTCATTGCCAGCTGTGCTATCCATTCTTGCTGTTTCTAATTTTAGTTCACTAAAAGGTTTGTTCTGGATTTACTCTCTTAGCCCTACACTCTGCCCTGCTCATTTGTTTTATCTTATCTTTGACATCTGATTTTATTAATTCGAGCTCTTACTTGGCATTAGAACAAAACACTCATGGGAGATTTTATTCTGCAACCTTCTTCCAGGTGGAGCTCTTTGATTTTTAAATACTTTGTGTTGATTCCTAAACCTAACACAGTTACCAAACTGAATGTCTACATCTTAGCCATGTTTACTGTAGGCAGCTCTGCTCTGGCATGTGATTTTGTGACAAGAACGTGTCCTTGCCCTCAAACTCCAAGGAGCACCAGCTGATGGACTAAGAATTTGTGTTCTACTTCTATGGTCTAAGGACCCAGAAGCAAGGGCAAGTGAGAGCTCAGTGAAAGCTGAGTACTGCTTTGTTCTCAGTTAATTCATATTTTACGCCCAGGCTTCTCTGCTCTGTGAGGACAGATCTTGTCTCTGGAGGGGGCCTGCTCTTTCATTTAACATCAGAGTTGCTCCCAGTGTACCTGCTCTTACATTTAACTCCCACTACTGAGAGGGGAACAGGCGCTTGCTTCTTGGCACGTGGAGGAATCCTAGCAAAGACTTTTCAAGATATCATCCATTTATCAGGTTGGCTTCTGCACAGCAAAGAATAGGTAACGCTTTTCAATCTTTTTTTTTTTTTTTTGAAACTCGAACCCTTCTTTGAAACTCCCTGCAAGTCACGCCCTTTCCCAGTTTGGTGGCTGAACCCACTTTCTCCTGTTGTGTGTCATTTTGTTAGTGTAACAGATGGAACTGTATTATCCTGAAATATGTGTTGCTAATCCTCACCTCTTTGCTGTGGTTAGAATACCATTTGATTGGATACCATGTGGTTAGAATAGCATTTGACTGCCTTTGTTATGCTAACAAAACATGATTAGTGTAGGGTGTATTTTACCTTTTTGAAGTATTAGGGTTTAAACAAGCAAGAGAACTAGAACAGATAGATGAAGACCACTCAGGAGCACAAGCTCAGAACAAGAACCTTCCTCCATAGCTAAGGGAAAGCTTCCCTCTAGAAATGGTCCCCTGAAGTAGGACTTTCATACTGTGAGAAAGCAAGTTCACTTGTGAAAGCCACTCCCAGCACTAGGGAAATAAGGTAAGTCCAAGGGAAAAGAGGGCGTGTGGCCCAGCTTTTCTCCTCCACCTTCACCTAGAAGCCAAACCCGCCTGTAAGAGTCAGAAAGTTAAAAAGGGTCCCGTAAATGGACTAGAGAGACAGAAGGGAAACCAAGAGATTGGACTCTCACGGAGGCTTGAAGGCAATTGTGCTCTTCAGGCTACCGCAAGTGGTCAACAGTGTCAGATGCAGGAAATGAGAGCAGGGTCCACTGGTCCTAGTGAAGAAACAGGAAGACGCTAGGCCCTTGACACCATGAGCAAGAGTTCTGTGACACTGACTTACTATTATTTTGGCTAATGGCATTCATGAGCAGTACTGGATGCACTGTCAGGTTTACAGAATAAACCTTCATTTAAAAATACCAATAATATCTGATGGAAAACACCACCACATATATACTAAACAAACCAAGAACATGAGGTTTGAAATTATGTGTTTGGGGCAGATGATGTGTCCTTTCAGGGTACTGGCCGTACTTGGGACTTTCTGGGTACCATGTCCAAGTTATTGCTTTGCCCCAACAAATACTTATCTGTAGACACAAAAAGAAGTTATATATACATATATATAAATATATTTACAATTTGCTACCTTTGAAATATACATGAAATTTCAAACACAAATCTGACAGACTTATGAAATAATACAGCTTTCTAAAAAGGGTAACATTTTCGTCCCCAGTGAAATCATTGCTTTTACCAATAGGAAGTCCTATCTTTTTGATGTTATTCATTTCTAATTACCACAGACTCCGGGTACAGTCTTCTGAGGTGTTCCAGAACCTCTGCTCTCTTTTGCTGGCGTTTTCCCTCATGGTTATCAATCCCAGCATTCTGCAATTCACTTTTAATAAGATTCAATTCTTCATTGACTTCAGACATTCTTGATTTTGCTTTTCCGATTTCATTCTCCAGGGTCTCCTCTTGCTGGTTTTTCTCCTTTAAGCAATCACTACATCATGGCAACAACACAATCACACAGTAAGGAGACCATTTTGGAGAAATGACAAGATTCAGTGAACTCGGATCTGCTCTATAGAGGGATAGGGCAGCACCCTGCCAACTTTTTTAAAGGTAAGAAAATAGAATAAAATCAACCTCACCAATTACGGCAGAGAGATTTGATTGTTTTTGTTGATTCAAAATGGGGCTTCAGCAAGTTCATGAAGAAACAATGAAAAGATGGCAGATTTTTCCCACAAACTTTTTGATGCCCCTTTGGATTCCTGGGGCCTATAGATAGCTGTAACCAATGCGATCATTATGAGCTTACTAAGAAAATGCCAATTACAAAGAGATTCTTCATGGCAGAATATTTACGCCTTTCATGATGCATTCATTACTTTAATTATACAGTAGCAACACTAAATGAGAGCTGTAAGTTTTATCAGTGCTAAGCGTTTATAGTTCACAGATTTAAAAACTAATTTGCTCTATGGTTAAGTGGGATATTTTACTATACACTATGCATTGAAAAATACTGGGGGAGGCAGAACACGACAGAGTGGGAGCATCCACGTGACAGACAATGACACACCAGACTCTGACACAAGAGGCAGCCGCTGGGGCTCTTCTTGCTATACCTACAGGCATGTCTTTGTATACTCCTCCAGCTTCTCCATTCTTTTTTTATGATCCTCTATTTGTTCTTTTATTTGGTTTATATTCCCCTGAAACATGAAATAAAACTTTACGTCAGTAACAGCAATTCCTAACCAATCAAGTTGATTTATGTTTCGCTATTTGCTTAGAACTTAATAATAATGGCTAGTTGTTACAGATTTGAAATATCTCAAATATTTGCGATGCGATAATACTTTTAAGCATACGTTTTTATTTTGAAAAGGCAGTGTGATATCAAGCTCTGAAGCTACACAGATCAGGGTGCATAATCCTGGCTCCACCAGTTACCAGGTGACTCATCTCCAGCAAGGTCCCTCATAGCTTTAATCTGGCTCCTTAGAAAATTGGTTCAAGGAATTACTTATTCACTGGTTAACATGCGCTAGGAGTTGGAGTTACAATAATTAATAGGAAGAATAGTCAGTCTTGGCCTTCATGAATAACTGAATGGGTGGGAGACAGACAAGGAAGCTATCATGGTAGAGAGTGGTTAAAATGGACAACAGTGCAGGAGCTACAGGGTTGTGGAAACTAACAGGCTTGTGGGCAGAAGACTGCAAATAGGTCTAGTTCTGGTCACTTTATTAAGAATCCCAAGTGCTATGGTAGTCTCCATCCAGTGAGTTGCACAGCAAGGTTGGTCTGTCTTATTCCTTTACTAAGGCATCTACAACTGGGAGTGGACACATGTGGACAACACTGTATGTATACACTGCCAGGAAAGAATACCTTTTCGAGTGGAAAAGGACATATATTTTAGGAACATCAATGATCCCATTCATCACACCTACCTCGTCAAGTGCTAATGATAGAAATAAGGACACAGCTCCTTTTCTCAAGAAACACACACAATTAAAATTAAGAGCTCTCATATTGAAATTTTATTATGTAAATTAAGAATTTACTCCAGAGAGGGCAAAAATAAGGTTAGTCAATGGGATACACAAAAGTTCTGCTTTTGTGGCTGGACCCAGGCAAGTCCCAGGGCTTGTCTTGTGCCTGGTGATTCCTATGTTTTACGGCAGAAAATGTCAAACATGTGGCCCAACAAGAACAGGAACTAGCCCCGTGGCTTATGATTCTAAGGGTGTGGTGTCAGGGCCGGGGTGAGAACCAGACCACATTGGTCCTAGGCATCCTGGATTGGGGGTGCCAGCTAGTCATGCACTGTCTGGGAAAACCAACCAGTCTCGGCACTGGAGGTCTCTGCAGCTGTTGAAAGCGGTAACCCCTCTTGTTTGGGGCATCTTCAGTCCTGTGGCACACCAAGCTTAGTACAGGCCTTCTCCCTTTGGGTATTTATTCCTTCTTCTATTCAACAGACAACAACTACTCAACCAACATTTATCAACACCTAAGTGCAAAGACCTTCAGTGGACACAAGTGTGAGTTCTCCTATAAGAAGCTTACAGCGTAGCTGTAACTAGTATTGATCTTTGTGCAAACAGACTCAAGCCCCAGATATTTATAGATCAAAACCATGAGTAACAAATGAACTCTTTATCACAAGAGATGTGGGGAGAAAAAGGAGGTCAGGGAAGGATTTGTGGTGCATGTGACTACTGAATTTAACATGTCAAACATGAGGTTTTCCAAAATAGAAATTAGCAAGCAAAAATCTTCAGTGTGCATTTGAAGAAATCAGAGAATTATTTTATAATGAGAAACCCACTAGACAAGTGTTTTAAAGTAGTTACAGCAATGTTGTCTTCTTTTTCTCTTTAGACAAAATGCTCTCTTCTGCTCATGATGATCACATACTGCACCTTACAGATGGTGTGTATTTCCTCTGCCAACCCACAGAGAAACTAAAATGACACAGTGGTTATGAAGATAATTTTTAGAGAACTAGTCTTGGAATCTATATGCTCAGGCTTGGGATCAACTCCTGGAATTCCTCCAATTACTAGCTGAGTTGAGTGACCTTAGTTAAGTCAACTCAACCATCTTGTGTCTTGAATCCCTCATTAGTGAAATCTACCCATTCATTCATCGATTGACTATTCAATGTGTTTACTTGGCACAACAAAGTATTTTAGATTCTTGGGATGCATCGATGAACATACAGACACACATCTCCTCTTGTGGATCTTACGTTCCAGAAGGGACAGGTAGGTAATAAATGTAACACTTAAGTTGATGAAGGTCAGTGAAAACTTGTGAGAACCAGAACTCCACAGGACTACCTTGTTGTTCTGAGTCTTGCAAATGTTCTGCCTTTGACAGGGAACACACAGTCTTGCTACTTTTTTATCACCTCTTTTAGTGGAAAACATTTGAAAATCTTTCTCTAAAGGTTTCAAAGTCTGACTGCAGTATGCTAGAAGGCAATTACTATGAGCAATAGAGCCAGAGCGGAGGGTCAGGGGGATATGGACAGTGGAGAGTGCAGTTTTAAATGAGATAGTCAGGGGAAGGCTGACCGAGAAGGCAATACATGAGCGGAAAAAGTCAGGAAGGGAGAGAGTTTAAAATGAGACAATCTTGGAAAAGCAGAGGGATAACCAACCAGTGCAAAGGCTCTGGATTGATTTTCTAGGCTCTTGTAACACACTGCCAGAACTGAATGGCTTAGAACAATAGAGATGTTGTCTGGCAGTGTTGGGACCTCTGGAGGCTCTGGGGAGGATTGTCGCACACTCTCTTGCAGCTTTTGGTGGTCGCTGGCAACTCCTGGTGTTCCTTGGGTAGTAGACCATAACTCTATTCTATCTCTGTCTTTAAACCACCTTCTTCTCTGTGTCCTTGTGTCCTCTCCTCATATCCATTGATCTAAGGACTACCCTAAATCCAGGATTCTATGTCAAGATCGACCCTTAGGTACTTACATCTGTAAAGATGTTATTTACAAAAAAAGGGTCAATTCTGAAGTTCTACATGAACATGAATTTTGGAATGCACCACACACCCTCAGGTAGAAATATATCTGATATAATTCAGGGGTCCATCTGGTTAGAACAGAGCAAGAAGGAGAAGAGAAAAAAGAGGATGTCCTAAATTTAGGGATGAGGGTGAGCACACAGAGATAAGACATCTAAGGACTTCAACTTGGATTTGCTGCCCAATGGGAGCCATTAGAGGACTGTGGGAAGTGGAAGCCCATGATCTGAGATATTATAAGAGACTAGCAGGCTACCAGACAGGTCTAGACAGAAACAAAAATCAAACAACAAAGATGAGGTTTGGTCCAAAGTGGGAGAAGCCGAGTGGAGAAAAATGATCAGATTTGTGGTTGATTTTGAAGGTGGAACAAAAATTTCCTGAAACAGTCACAGAATGGACAGCAAGGTTTTTGGCCCAAGCCACTAGTAAAATTGAATTGACCTCATATTAGGTGGGAAAAATCACATGGAACACGTTTGAGTGTGGAGACCAGAACTTCAGTGAATATTTGTTTCATGTGATGTGTCTGGTCAGCATGTCACATGAAGATGTTGAGGATGCACCTGGATGTATGAGGTCCAGGTTTAGACAATGAACTGGCAGTCATCATCAGATGGTGTTTAAAGTTATGAGACTGGATCAGCTTACCAAGGCAGTGAATATAAGAACGGGCACCCCTCAAAATGGATTGTTTTCCAAGTTATGTATTTAATTTAAAAAAACAAAGAAACAACCTTATCACCTTCAATATACTCTCCATTACACTTAATACATTTGTCAAATCTGTGATTCCATTCTTGGAAACATTTTTCTAACTCATCTGTTTCGATGGCTGACGGCACCTCCCTCGTTTTGTTTCTTCACCTCTTCTACATTGTCAAATAGCTGTCCTTTCATGTCCCTCTTCATTTGTGGAGACAAAAAGAAGTCACATGGAGCAAGGTAAGGTGTGTGGGGCAAGAGAGGCATGCTGGTTTTTGCCAAAAACTGCTGCACTGAGATGGCTGCGTGAGCAGGTGCATTAAATCAGCCATCACAAAAAACGAGGTTCGAGTGAAACTGCTTTTATGACAACAGAGAACCTTCCCAGGCGACGCCACTGGGTACACTCAGAGCAAGTTGCTCAATGTTCACCTAGTGGGGAAAAATGCATACTACAAAAGCTCCACCCAGGTAGCTTTTTCCCCATTGTAGGGGGTGATACCCTTCATATGTACACAAGAGAAAACAGAGTAAGACTGGCCTTGAGATATTATTATGAGAATTAAATGAATTAGACTTACAGCAGTGTTGGATACATGACAAGTACAATAAACACAGGAAGAAACAGGTTCTCTCAAACAGGAGCTGACATCTCCTGAGAATAGCAGCAACAATAACCTGTTTCTTCTCAGCACACCAGAATGAAGACCCACCCTCACAGTGCGGCTGAGGGCTGGAGTCTCTAGTAAATGTAAAGTGCCCAGCAAAGTAAGACATTTTTCCCTTTACATTTCAAATATTCACTTGTAAATAAGATGCATCTGTAATTTGGACCATTTCCCTATTGCCACCCTTATCAGAAATGGTAGTCATGTTTTTAGGATGGCCCATGGAAGCCAACTTAGCTCCCTAATATTAGATAAATTACATTCTTGTTGAATATGTGACAAGGATCATCTAATAGGCCAGATATAAGAGGAATCATGAAGCGAAAGACTAGTGTTTGGTGTGTTATCACACATTCACTTCATTTAACCTTCCCAGCACTTTCGTACGGATGAAGAAATTAAAGTTGGAGGAACTCGATAATTTAGTTATTCACTGAGAATACATTGGGAGCCACGGAGCAAGACAGGATGGAAGCCAAGTCTGCCATACTCTAAGCAGAACCCTAGATGATCTAACATCATAGCCTGTTTCAATGGCCACTTCCTACATAGACTACATGGCACCTCTTGGGCTGTCCTTCATGTTTCCAAATAATTCTGTATTCATCTTTATCATGGTACCTCCTTGCTTTTCTCACTTTACCTACCTCCCCCTAACCCCATTGGACTCAAATGAGTGTCACACCTGATCTTGGAATCTTCCCAGTAATAGGCAACACCTATTACTGCATGACTGTATAAGGACACTTATGAAGTACAGTTGAAGGCTGTCTAATCTTACCTTAGCCCACAGGAAGAGCTACCTAAATAATAATGCTAGGCCCCACAAGAGGTAACCCAGCCACTCTCAACTACTTGCTTATTTTTGACATAAAACAATCCATCTCTATATTGAAAAGCTAGTATAAAAAGGAACTAAATTTAGTGTAACGCTTCTAAGACACAGTGGCACGAATCAAGGTACCTGAATTTCTGTATGCCTCCTCTTTTCAAACGCCAGTCGTTCTTCATCGGCCCTCTGTTCCCACTGCAGTTTTTCCAGCTGTTGGGTCATTATGGCCACATTCTTTCTAACGCTTTCCTTTAGTTCCTTATAGCGATCCAGCTGTACAGACAGCAGTTAGACAATGCTAATTCAATTAGGGAAGCGTGGAAGGAAATTCTTTGTATGACATACTTTACCAGTAGATCATGAATCTTATACAATTCTGTTTTATATACATTAGCGTGAGACCTCAACTGCCCATCTTCTCCAGGTACCATCATGGGAACATAAAGCATATGTCTTACTTAAAGCCATTTAAATTGATCAACGTGGTATTTTCAAAAACTCTAAAAGACGGTCTCAAATATTTTGGAAATGATGATGGCAACATATATATGTGTGCTTAGTACAACTGAATGATAGACTGTCGTAAGATTTGTAAGAGTCCCCCAATAAAATGATTATTTTTTTAAAAAGGAAACAAAAAAATATATAAATAAATAAAAGGTCTCTGCCAGAAATTCATGAAAGAGGGGACTGAAACTCCTTGATAGTCCGATAGCAAGAGGAGTCCTAAGCAAACTTTTTTCTCTTCCTATTTATATAAACGTAATTTTCTCTGGCATATAGATTTTAACAAAAGATTACACAGAATATTGAGATAAATGGTAAAAAAAATTGATTTAGAGAATGTGTGGAAACTCTGAGCTGCATACATGTGGATATGTACTATTGAGTCAATATATTATAAACTAAAGTGGGAATTTATATATCACTTAGCATCTTATATAACCTCAAGTAATTAACCTCCATCCTGTTAATTCAATGAGCACACACAGCTCTTAAAAGCCACATATATTGAACTTTAACATTTTAATAAGATTGAATAGATGAAACACAATTACCGTATCTACTCATGTATAAGCTGAGTTTTTTCAGCTCATTATTAATGCCGTTTTTGTGGTAAAACTAGGTGCCTCGGCTGATATTCAGGTCGGCTTATACCCGAGTATAGAGGTACTTAAAAGTACAAGAAGCATAGCATTCAATTAATTACCCTTTGCAACAACACGTTATCATGCAACCTTATTGAACTATTTTCTAGGACTTCGATTAATCCAAAAAAACTATAACTCCTTCTATGGAGACCCTGGAAGGGACCAACATTTAATGCACTTGGCTGCTATCTGAAATCTCTAAATCAGCCTATGAAAACCCGAGGGAAGGCGGTCCTACTCTGACACACGGGGAAGTGCCATGAGCCAGACCCAACTCAATGGCCAGTGATTGGTTATAAGGAAAAAGCAACTCAGCCTAAAGATTACAATTAGGTTTCGTGTATAGGCCTCAGTCCTTACAATTGAATACCCCAAGGATAATCTCTTGAGAGGCCATTCTTTTAATTTGCTCTAAAAGGAGAAACCAAAACGATATAAAAATAAGGTTTTTTAAATGTTGACTTTTCACCTGACTTGCTTCCAGTTCAATATCTCTCCCTTTGTGTAAGATTTCTTCCTCAACCTGCTTTTCAAAACGTTTCCATGAACCATCTAAGTCTGCCAGCTCTGTTTCCAGGGCTTTTATGTCATCTTCCTGCTTGGAACACTGCTTCTCATGGTCCTTTATTGACTTCTTAGCCTTGTCCAACTTCTTGAGGTGGTGAGAAGTATTTTCTTTTGCTTTAATGTACTGAGGCCTCTTCTGATTTAAAAGTGCTTCAAGAGCTCTAAAAAGAACATAGGGTAAAAAAAAAAGACAAAGCAAAATTAAATTTTATATATACAAAGGGAAATTCTTTTGATTAAACTGCTTATGTTAAATTAAGTATTCAAAAAATCAACTTTCAGAGACACTAAACATGATCAGTGGTGGCCGGCAATGAAGAGGGGGGACTGAAGAGGTGATATGTCACAAGAAAATTTTTTAGAGCATACAAATGTTCTGTATGAACTGCTGAAGACAAAGCATGTGAATAGGCAAGTGTGGTGAAGAAAGCTGATGGTGCCCGGCTATCAAAAGATATAGCGTCTGGGGTCTTAAAAGCTTGAAGGTAAACAAGCGGCCATCTAGCTCAGAAGCAACAAAGCCCACATGGAAGAACATATCAGCCTGTGTGATCATGAGGTGTCGAACAGATCACTGAAGACAAGTGGGTGCATAAGCAAATGTGGCGAAGAAAGCTGATGGTGCCGGCTATCAAAAAGTATAGCCTCTGGGGTCTTAAAGGCTTGAAGGTAATCAAGTGGCCATCAAGGTCAGAAGCAACAAACCCCACATGGAAGAAGCACACTAGCCTATGCAACCACGAGGTGTCGAAGGGATCAGGTATAAGGCATCATCAGAACAAAAAATCTTACCATAGTGAAAGATGGGGGGAGTGCGGAGTGGAGACCCAAAGCCCATGAGTAGGCCACTGGAGATCCCCTTGCAGAGGGGCCTCGGGGAGGAGATAAGCCAGTCAGGGTGCGATGTAACAACGATGAAAATTACAACTTTCCTCTAGTTCCTAAATGTTTCCTCCCCACTCCCACGACCATGACTCGAATTCTACCTTGCAAGTCTGGCTAGACCAGAGGATGTACACTGGTACAGATAGGAACTGGAAATATAGGGAATCCAGGACGGATGAGCCCTACAGGACCAGAGGTGTGAGTGGCGAAACAGGGAGGGTAGAGGGAGAGTGGGTAGGAAAGAGAGAACCGATTACAAGGAACTATATGTGACCTCTTCCCTGGGGGACAGACAACCGAAACGGGGGTGAAGGGAGACGTCGGACTGGGCAAGATATGACAAAATAACAATTTATAAATTATCAAGGGCTCATCAGGGAGGGGGGAGTGGGGAGGGAGGGGAAAAATGAGGACCTAATGCCAGGGGCTTAAGTGGAGAGGAAATGTTTTGAGAATGATGAGGGCAATGAATGTACAAATGCGCTTTACACAATTGATGTGTGTATGGATTGTGATAAGAATTGTATGAGCCCCTAATAAAATGATTAAAAAAACAAAACAAATGTTCTGTTTGACACTGTGATAGTGGGTACATGATTCTATGGTTTGTTTAAACTTACAGAACTTTACTGCACAAAGAATGCTCCTTAATGTATGACCACTTAGTGCAAGGAAGGTAAGTATTCAAATGTGTCAAAGGGTCTGCAAAGAATGCAGGAGCCACCTCAATGACCACAGTTTGAACAATCTGAGCAAGAAAACAAAGTAGGGTTGAATGACAACTGAAGACATAAAGTAAACATCCATCAGTCCTGACTTAAATAATTGAATAAATAAATACCGCTAAGTGGGAAAAAGAGACCTATTTGTGCAGATCCCAAATTAGTGAGGCAGAAACTCTCCCTCAAGGTGGAGCACAACTGCCCTCACGGAAAGTCTGGCCTGCGCATAGTACTTCTTTCCAAGGAGGACAGTGTAGAAAGGGGGAAAAAAGGAGTAACTTTATATTAGAGGAACCTGAAAGACACCCCTCAGCTGGGCAATCAAGGTCAATACCAATAGTACCCAGTCACAAATATTAGGATATATCACTTACGTGGTATGTTCAAACCCTTGATACAATGTGATGAGAATGGGACTTGACCTCAGTGGTCTTTCTTTTGCCTCAAACTAACAATCCCATTTCAGTCATAAGGGAAACATCACATATCTGACCAGACTTCAAAGGTGTCCAGGTCATCGAAACCAAGGAAAGCCTAGGACACTGTCACAGCTAAGAGGCGCCTATGGGGATGTGACAGCAAAATGTAATGTGGAACCTTGGACCAAAACAAGGAAATTGAAAATGAAGAAAATCAGAATAAAGTGTGGAGTTTGGTACATAATTAACAGGGGATACTAACAGAGACACTAAGTGTAGATATATGGGAATTACCATGACCATCTCTGCCATTATTCTGTATCAAAGTACTCTAAACAGCTAACTTTAAAGAACAAACTCAGTGTCACTTAATTAGAAATTATATTCTTAATCTATCAGATAATCTACATAAAATCCAACTGTTTAATATCTATGTTTGAAAACTCACTTTAATTCTTTCTCTGTTTGTTGTACTTGTCTAGTTAACACTCCATGTTCCTTCTTCTTGGCTTTAACTATGCCTTCCTGATGTGAGAGAGATTCTTTTGTGGCATCCAACTCCCTACTTGCATGCTCTAGCTCAATGTTCAGAGCATGAATGCTTTTCTCATTATGATAGAGCTGGAAAAGCTTCAGCTGTATCTTGTTTATTTTCAGTTCTTCAAGGAGATTCTGGTAACGTTCCGCCTATAAACCAGTACAGTTCAACAGTAGTTAGCAGGGAGTCCATTTGAGTCACCCTTTCATAAACTTATCTACTTTACCAACAAATTAATTTTCCTGTATGCTACTGAGAAACAGTATTGTTCCCAAAAACACTATGAAGAGGGCTTCTGGATACACTTGGAAAACACACTGTGAAACACACTCTGAACTGACCATGGCAAGTGCAGTGGCAAGAGTAATGAAGTGACACCTGTTATCCTTGGTCCCAGTCCTGCTTTTGTCTTGACCTGTGAGGCTGGCAAGTCCATGAACATTCTGGCACCTACTTCCTCACTTGTAAACGGAAGGAAGAACATCATCTGACGTGGACGGTTCCTAGCAACTCTTCAACAACGCCAGGTAGAATTCCTGCTACAGGATTTATCTTGACTACTAAAGTTCTCAATTATATATGGAAAGGAAGGATTTTCTCGCTCCTTTCTATTTCAAGTGTTAATGCCTACCTGAGACAGTTTTTTGATCAAAATTTGATAGCGTATCATGCACACAAAAATCAGGGAGTGACCTACATAGAGAAAAAAGCACCCTGCCTCTTCAGGGTGCTGACAGGTGCAGCACTGATGACTCTGAAGCCAAAGCTAGAACTTGTAGGTCTGAGGACAAATCAGGACAGTGACACCAAAATGCTGTAGGGAGTCACTGTATCCATTTCTGCCACACATCTATAGCTGTTCAAAATAGTCTGTTTCACTAAGAATGCATTTGAAAGCAGGGCACATCATTACTAGCATTAAACCCTGACCTTTGCATCCATATCTTTTTACTACTGTGTGAAGAGTGCATGAAATACTTCTGCAAACACCTTTAAGGGGACAGTTGTCTTGAAAAGCACTTGCAGTGACTGCATTGAGCTGTGAGTGGAACTAACCGCTTACTTTGCTTAATGGAACACCTTTTCCACTTAAAAGAACAAGTGACAAACTTGTCAGACTTGGTTATTTTTTAAAAATGATTGAAGGGATACTGTAACCAAATTTGAGCTTTTAAGTGAAAATCCGAATTTTGAAAAAGTATATTTGTCTCAATAAGTAAAAACATTTCAGATGAGAATAGAAGTAATATTGTGGACTTTTGACATTATATAAAGATGTGTGCACGTATTTGGAAAAGCTCCATGACTCAAGTGAACCAATATTTACCAAATAATCAATGCATGATGTTACAAAACCATGTAATATGCGTAACACACTTTCAAAATACAAAGTATGCCAAGACAGTTTAAGAAAATAGTATATATCACTTCTCAGCCTTTTGGCTAAGATCAAAGTGTAGGAAACAGTATAAAAAAGTTCACTGAGGGTAGTTTTAGATTCTTGAATTTAGATGCTGAAATTAATCTTTAACAAATCATCACCTGTCAAATTTTGATGGAATACCAGTTATCTGAAAAAGCTATTAAGACAGTCTTTCAATTTCTAGCTAGGTTATCTGTATAAGGTGAGATTTTTATTGATTTCAACCACAAATTACCAGATGGAATACAGAAGCAGATCTAAGAATTCATCTTTCTTTTATTCAATCAGACATTAGAGATTGCAAAACTATAAAACAATCACTCTTTTAGTACTTTTAGATCTTATACGTGAAAACAATCTCCACTGCCATCTAGTCAATTTCTACTCATAGGAACACTATGTAGGGTTTTCAAGACTACAAATCTTCATGGGAGTTGACAGTCTCTTCTTTCTCCTATGGAGAGGCTGGTGGGTTTGAACCATGTTTAACAGACCAATGTTTAACCCACAGTGCCGTAAGGGCTCCTAGAATATAGAATTATTTATCAGAAAAAGATGTTATTTATATTAACATGTAGTAAGTTTACTATTGTAATTTTCATATGGACACCAAAAACATACTTTTATAATTTCTCAGTTCTAATTTCAAATATGACAAATACTGAGATAAACCATATCAACAACACATCTTAGATTTCCCTATTGATTTTTTAAAGTAAAATGTGGTCAAATTCTAAAAATTTAAACTCACATTTTTTTAAACTCATATTTCTTTATACATTTTTCAGTTCAGTTGTCCTGCCCCCAAGGGTAAAAGCAAAGTGAATGTGGAAAATACAGAAAAACACTTGTAATGATTATGGGGCCTTTCTGATATAAATATATTACTATAGGAAGAGAACCCTGAATCAATACTGACAATTTTAACAGTGTTTTGAATCTGATAACCAAATATTTACTTCTTTATGGCCTTACCTCTTCTTTCTCTAATTTTGCATGTTTGCGCTCAGCAGCTATATTTTTTTTCTTATTAAAATTAAACTGTGCATCCTCTTCAGCTTTCTGTAGTTTTTTTTTCTTTTCCTCGTATTCTCCCAATAGCTCTCCTGAAGTGCTGATTTCTTCAAAAAACTGGGTTCTCTCTTTGGGTTTTTTCAGTGAAATCGACTCTACGGTTCCCTTTTAAAACAGTAAAGTACACCAACATTACCAATACACGGGTGCAGCTCTTTTCCCAAACTACAGATCAGATAAACAACTCCAACTATTTACCTGAAAGACTAGGCAGTTTCTTGCCTTGACTATTATGCCTATCTTCTCCAACTCTGCCAAGTAAAAGGCACGACTCACAGGATTGTTATCAAAGTGAAATTCTGAGCCTCCCCCTAAAATTAAAGAGTCAAAGCTGTTAGAGATCTAAGTATTAGACACATTTGAACAATCACAGAGACTTTAACAAAATCCTTCTTTAATGAAATAGTCAGTTATGCAATATACATGCTAATAAATGCATTTAAAACGCAAACGCACTGCCCTTGAGTCAATGATGACTCATAGCAGCCCACTGTGGGTTTCTGAGACTAACTGTTGAAGGCGGTGGTTCTCAAACTTCCTAATGCCGTGGCCACCCAACCATAAAATTATTTTTGTTGCTACTTCATAGCTGTAATTTTGCTACTGTTATGAATCGGACGGGGAATGGAAAGCCCGGTCCTTCTTCCGCAGAGCTGCGAACTGCTGACCATGCAGATTGAAGCCCAACATGTAATCACTACACCACCAGCGCTCTTAAATGCATTTAAGCAGTCTTCAAATAAAGTGTTTTGAGTGCCTACTGCAAGCAGGGACTAGTCTGTGGCTGCCAACACAAAATAAAAAGTCTCTGATCTCATGGAGGTAATATCCTAAGGGGGAAAGACAGATAAACCAAGACATGCAGTAAAATAGTTACGTGAGCTGTGAAGGGGCGATGAAAGCTTCTGTGTTGGGGAGCAGGGAGTACAATTTTAAATATGATGGCTAGACTTTTGAGTAAAGATCTGAAGGGAGAGAGCTAGGCAATGAGATATCTTGGGGATAAAGTGGTAAAACATTTAAATTACACAGTTACAAGTATACAATAATATTCACTGATTTCTAAAATTTTCTGATTGGATTTGTAAGTTACTAAGGTAATATTTATACATTAGAGCTGTTCTAAAGGGACAAGAATGAAAACAGAACCAAAAAGCCCCACAAAACACACTAAGCCTATCTATAGAAGATCTGTAAACTCTGACAGGCAGAAAAATATAGTTATCAATTTTGTTTATTAAGGAAGGACAGGATTTATTTATTTTAGGAGTAAGTTGAACTTTATTTTATAATAATATATTTTGTTTATTTATTAAAAATCATTGTATGGGGGCTCTTACAGCTCTTAACACAATCCACACATACATCCATTGTGTCAAGCACATTTGTACATATGTTGCCATCATCATTTTCAAAATATTTTCTTTCTACTGGAACCCTTGGTATCAGCTTTTCCCCTCCTCTCCCCTCATGAACCCTTGATAATTTATAAATTATTATTTTTTCATGTCTTACACCAACCGCTGTCTCCCTTCACTCATTTTTCTGTTGGCTGCCCCCCTGGCAGGGGGTTATATGTAGATCATTGTGATCAGTTCTCCCTTTCTCCCCCAACCTTCCCCTTACTGTACTAGTATCGTTACTCTCATTATTGGTCCCGAGGGGTTTATCTGTTCTGGATTCCCTGTTTCGAGCTCTTATCTGTACCAGTGTACATGCTCTGGTCTAGCCAGATTTGTAAGGTAGAATTGGGGTCATGATAGTTTGGGGAAGGAAGCAATTAAAGAACTAGAGGAAAGTTGTATGTTTCATCAGTGCTATATTGCACCCTGACTGACTTGTCTCTTCCTTGTGACCCTTCTGTAAGGGGAGGTTCAATTCTCTACAGATGGGCTTTGGGTCTCCACTCTGCACTCCCCCTCATTCACATCGATATGATTTGTTCTGGGTCTGATGCCTGATCCCATGGACACCACATGATCACACAGGCTGATGTACTTTTTCTATGTGGACCTTGTTGCCAGCTAGATGGCCGCTTGTTTATCTTCAAGCCTTTAAGACCCCAGACACTATATCTTTTGATAGCCGGGTACCATCAACTTTCTTCACCACATTTGCTTATGCACCCATTTTGTCTTCAGCAATAATGTCGGGAAGTTGAGCATCACAGAATGCTGGATTATTAGAACAAAGTGTTCCTGCATTGAGGGAGTACTTGAGTAGAGACCCAATGTCCATCCACTGCCTTAATACTTAACATATAAACATATGTACACAGATCTATTTCACTATCTTTATATGTAAATATATTTACATATGTACATGCTTGTATTTAGACCTCTATAAATGGGAAGGGCAGGGGTTTCATGAATACATTCACAAAATATAAATTTAAAATTTCATTCAAGCTGCTTCTTGATGGTAGAAAATCTACCTACACTAAGTGAAAAAGTTGCATTAGCACATCACTAAGAAAAATATATAAACTTAACATACATAGCCTCACAAAGACTTTTATAACCTCTGTGTTCTGGTAGTGCAGTAGATTAAATGTTGGGCTGTTAACCACAAAGTCGGTGGTTCCAGCCCATTAGTGGTATTGTGGGAGAAAGATGAAGCTGTCTGAACTGCCACAAAGTCTTGAAGTCTTAGAATCCTAAGAAACAGTTCTATGTCCTATAGGGTGGCTATTAAGTCAGAATTGACTACCTTTGAAGCAATTTTGGTCTTTGCCTTCCTGGTAGGTTTCCTTCTTCATTTCAGTGAAATATACAAGTATAAAAATGCTATTTATAAATAGAAATATTTACTATGATATGTGGATTACATGTCCACAGAACTTTTAAAATAAAAAAAAGATATTTTTACAAGTTTGTCTGCTTAAGGAAGAGTCCTAGTGGAGAATCCTTGTCAAACAGATTATTTATTCTAAGATTTGCTATAGTGAGATCAAATTGTAGGCTTCAAAGAAAAATCAAACGACTAAGTGACAAAAATCTACAAATACCTCGAATAATTCTTGTGAATATTTTCTTTTCTCCACTCTCTTCCATGTACTCAATTGTTACACTTGCAGAAGAAGAAACAGGTTTTCCAATATGTGCTCCATGGATAAGTTCTTGAATATTTTTCACTCTTAAATTAGCTGTTTTTTCTCCCATTACAAAACTCAGTGCATCCATTACATTAGATTTTCCTGGGGAAGAAAAGATAGGGCAAACATGGATGCTAGTTCTTAATCATAAAAGTCCTTACTCAGCCCAAGATACCAGGCTCCCAACAAGTGAAAGTCAATTAACCTATCTAAATAGTCCTGTATTGACTATCTAAATAGTCCTGTATTGAATATTCAAAATGCATGCGACATAAAATGTTATGTAGATCACAATGGCAGAGCACCAAAAACAAAACAAAAAAGCAACCAAACTCACTGCCATTGTGTTGACTCCGACTCATAGTGAAGCTAAAGGGCAGCAATGGAACTGGTGAGAAGAGAGCCACCTGGGGCTCCATCCTGCTAATATCAGCAAAGGGCCAGCAGGGAGCACCGTCAGCCTAGCAAATCCCATCAGAAGGACCAGGATAAGCCCACCAGGGAGGGTGACCAGGCTGGAGGGAATCCAGGAAGTGACCATCTGTCATGGCCTCATCATAATAAACCACCTCCCTTTGCTGAACTCCAGCCAAGTAGAGGGCCCTGCGAGGAAGGCCTCATGCATTTCCCCATGCCCATCCCCTTGATTGGCAACATGCCCATTTTACAGATGAGGAAGCAAGAGGCTCAGAGAATCATGACAATATAGTGCTCAAGGTCATACTTCCAATTAACCAAGCTAGGGTCCAACTCAAATCCCTCTGATATTAAAGTGCCTGCTCACCCTCTCTCCCACTGCCTCCCAGACAGGGCAGAGCACCCAGGATCAACCCCAGGGACAAAACTTGGCTTCAGTTTTGTGCGGGCCTCACACGCGCCCAACTCTCAGTAGAGAGTAGGTGTATAATAAATGCAAATTAAATCTGCCGCCACGTGCTTCCACCTGGTAGGAACATCTAAGACCAAGCCCCCAAGGATCTGTGGGGCTTGGGGTCTTTCAGGGCAGAGGTGGGTTTTCATAGAAATCCAGAAGCAAATTGTGTCAGGAACTGCCAGTATCAATTCTGTGTCCCCTGTGTGTCAGAGAAGAGAGCTGTGTGACATGGGGTTTGCAATGGCTGATTTTTTTAGGAAGTAGATCACCAAATTTGGTTCTGGATAAACTCCAATCGCCCAGGGATTCCAAAAGGGACTGTGTTCCCCCAAACTAAGGTTGTCTTCGTGAAGGGGTCCATTGTCATCTCTGCCCCATCCCCGGGGCCTTCTTACTCACTGACACTGAGTGGTTTCCGACTCATCTCGACCCTATAAGGCAGGGTAGAACTGACCCTGTGGGTTTACGAGGCTGTAACTCTGTATGTGAATACAAAGTCTTGTCTTTCTCCCTCAGAGAGGATGGTGGTTTTGAACTGCTGACCTTCATTTAGCAACCTAAGGCAACAACCACTATGCCACCAGGGCTCTAATGGCAGAGAGCTAAGTGATCTAAATGTAAGGACCCAGTAGCTGGACCTAAATCCCAGATTTCCTTATTAGGTATTATCTCACAGTATAATCCTTACCCTAACTTTGCTGAATTTCCATTATGCGTACTTTATAAATATAAAAAACTATGACATAAAAGTATTATGTATCACCAAATTTTCACACACAGAATTTTTTCCCACTAATTTCAAGATTTCTCCAAAGGCTTAACTAAGCTCGCCAGAATATTGAAATGAGGAAAGCTAACAGCCCTAAGACTGCTGGTATCCTTTGAAAAGCTCACTTATCAGGTTGGCTAGTATCTGGGAGTTCGGATTTCAACAGTCTTCCCCTCATTCCTTGATGAGGAATAATGTGCCTCCTCAACTGTTTTGTATAAACAATGATTAATACTTATTGCTTTGCTTGCTGGGAGTCTGTAATTTTTCTATGTGCAAGGCAGAAGGTGCCTACACAAATAAAAACATAACACGAGACTCTAATGAGCTTCTCTGATAGACATACTTGTCACCGCTCAATGCCGGAGGGATTAAGCACATTTGTGTGACCAAGAGCCCTGGTGGCATAGTGGCTATGCATTGGGATGCTAACTTGCAAGGTCAGCATTTTGACACCACCAGCTGCTCCCAGGGAGAAAGACTAGACTTTCTACTCCCATAGAGTTATAGTCTTGGAAACAGGCCATTCAACCTTTCCATAGAGGGTCACTGTGTGACGGCACTAGCTCAATGGCATTGAGTTTGTTGTGTGACTCTGACGTGACTCTTGGAATCTTCTACCGAGTTTCCCAGATTTCACCCCATTTGCCTGTTTCCTTACACGACAAGCAATCATAGCTATGAATACAACTATAAGCTGAGTCCTCTTAGCCAATCAATATCCTAGAGGTGGTCTTGGGAACTCAAGACTTATATGGCAAACTACCAAAAAAGTAATACAAAGAATGTATTTTCTTTGTTTAAAGTTTCATAAACAGCATCTGACCTTCTGTTATATTTGTGTTCTTTTTTGATTTTTCCATACTTTGGAAAGGGTGGCTTTACTCTGCATATCTTCTGCTCTTAAAACTCAATACACAGTGGCAATTAATTGCTAACGGATACTCTGGTGGCAAACTGGTTTAGTGTTTAGCTGCCAATGGAAAAGCCAACGGTTCCAGCCCACTACTGCTCCACGGGACAAAGACGTGGCAGTCGGATTACATAAGGACTATAGCTATGGCTATGGAGCAGTTCTACCCTGACCTCCAGGGTGACTGTGAGCTAGAATTGACTGGATGGTGAAGGGTTTGGTCAGGTAATTATTTACCAAATACAAATGAATGGAAATCACAAAGCTTAAGTTAAAAACTGAAAATGTTACTTCACCACAAAAATTTTTTTTATATTAAAAACCAACAATTGAGAAATTTTGTCAGGTGAAAATAAATGATCAAGTAATGGTTTCAAAATTATCACGTGTGGCAAAAATTTTGCCAGATTAAAAAAATGATTAACTAACAAGCATTCAAATAAATATGAACATAATACTACCCATTAAAATGACCAAGGATAAATACCATATCAACTTGGCCTGTATACAGCAAAAAGGAAGGAAGCTTGGTGGCACTGTGTGTAAATGTTAGACTGCAAACCACAAAGCCAGCAGATCAAGCCCCTTAGCCATTTCTTGGGAGAAAGATGAGGCTGTCTGTTGCCATAATGATTTACAGCCTCAGAAAATCCTATATAGGGTTGCTGTAAGTTGAAATCCACTCAAAAGCAGGTTTGGATTCTTGTTTTACAGCAAAAATGAATACCATCTAAATAAAATTCAATGAATAAGTCAACCAAATGTCTGTTTGGGGGAGATGGCATGGAAGGCAATGCTAAATAAAGTATGACTGGTTTTATGTGATTGTAACTCAAATCTCTAGATTATCTTTGTCATTAATTCTCATGAGAGGGAAGGAGCTTCCGTGGGGTGATGTAGACCAGGGGAGGGGCAGCAAGAAGACTCTGTAAAGGCCACTTTTACAATAACTTTAAGGTATATTCTAGATCATAAAACCAGGTTCCAGATTTATGTTAACAGGATCTGGAATGGTGAGGCTGACTGAACTTGTATTGTGGGCAGAGACTTTCTGGTGGGAGTTCTAAAACCAAACTGAGGCACCTTCATTCATCACCGGTCACCCATCACTGGTTAAAAGATAAAAATCACTGCCCAGTGATTTCCTCAAAGTTGGATAAGGTACAGGCGCTCTGATCTTCCATCACTGTGCAGTGGAGAGCCTGGTCAGTCAACTTTGGTCCTCCTTAGCTTGATTTCTCCCCGAGGAGCCATGGGGCACACAGAAATGGCATTGCCCAGGGTGAGTGCACTAGACCCTGGTGATTCTGCCGCTCTGGGGGGAGGGCGTGTGGGAATTTGCCACCTCAAGGGAACCTACTGCCTCAAGGAAACTGCGTTCCCTGCTTTATCCTTACTTAAGAGGCCATAGGACTGGCACCGAGGACAAGGATTGATGTTGGGACAGACTCCCAGGCAGAGGGCGCAGGGCCAGGCAGGGGAAGGCAGAGCTGGGCCCTGGGTGGGTGCCAGCCAGGAGCTGAGGGGTACAGGGTCTGTGAGAGCCTCGGGCCAGGTCCTGTGTAGGTGAGGGATCTGAAACTTGTGAGGTGAAGGTCTGGGAGGCCAGGGTTGCTGTCTGAGGGGCTGCTGTCTGTGAGGCAGGGTCTGGGAAGACATATCTGTGACTTGGGGGAATGGGGGCCATGGCCTGTGGAGGACAGAGTCCAAGATCGGTGGATAATGGGGTTTGGGGGGGGGCGCTCTCTGTGAGGGGGGATCTGTGGAGGATGGAATCAAGGGTCTGTGGATAATGGGGTTTTGGGGGGCACTGTGAGGTGGTCTGTGGATAATGGGATTTGGGGGGCGCTGTGGGGGTCTGTGGAGGACGGAGTCCAAGGTCTGTGGATAATAGGGTTTAAGGGGTGGCACGCAGTCTGTGAGGGGAGTCTATAGATAATGGGGTTTTGGGGGTGGTCTGGAGGGCGTCTGGGTCCGTGGAAACAGGGTTTGCGATGGGGGAGGGGAGGGGTCTGTGGAGGATGGAGTCTAGGGTCTGTGGATAATGGTGTTTGGGGGGTGCAGTCTGTGAGGGGGGTCTGTGGAGGACGGAGTTGAGGGTCTGTGGATAATAGAGTTTGGGGGGCTGTCTGGAGGGCGCCGGGGTCTGTGGGAACAGGGTTTGGGGTGGGGTCTGTGGAGGATGGAGTCCAGGGTCTGTGGATAATGGTGTCTGGGGGGCGCAGTCTGTGAGGGGCGTCTGTGGAGGACGGAGTTGAGGGTCTGTGGATAAGAGTCTGGGGGGGGCGGTCTGTGGCAACAGGGTTTGGGGTGGGGGAGGGGCGAGGTCTGTGGAGGATGGAGTCCAGGGTCTGTGGATAATGGTGT